TCTCTCTCTCTCTCTCTCTCTCTCTCTCTCTCTCTCTCTCTCTCTCTCTCTCTCTCTCTCTCTATCTATCTATCTATCTATCTATCTATCTATCTATCTATCTATCGTGTCGTGAAGCATTTGCCGCCGTGCACGTCGACGTGGGCGCGCGTTTTCAGGAGGATCACATTGTCGTAGTTCAAAACCTCGAATGATTGTATCTGGCCATCGTTCCCGCATTGCCGTTTGGAACTCATCTGACAATCTTTGTCGAAAAGTGACGAACCCGCACAGTCGAGAAAAAGCAACATATCCATTGTAACGATTCTGCTTTGGTTCGAGATTTGCACGACCAATAAGCAGATTCATGCACTGTTGCAGATGCTCTTCCAACCCAGCAAAAGTCACAGTCTCCTCCAAAAGCGTTGCGGGTCCCGGTCACCGACTCCTAATCTCGGCGACTGTCAGTTCCTCGTCGTGGAAAGGATCTGTATCTGTCCCATTTCCAAACACGACTGCGTCGGCCCTCACGCCAGCCCTGCGTCGTCGGTGGTCCATGTATAGGAATGAGTGAATATTGTTCTGTCGCTTATATGTGAATTTTTAGAAATCTACAAAACACAACATCACGGTCACCGATGACCTTAGTACTGTACCTCGACATAACGAAAACGAAAACAAATTTCACAACGCAAAGCAGGCGAATAAAAAAAACTCAAAACATATAACAAACACATGGGAGATGACGATTGCATATATATACACAAAATGTACAATCTTTGAAACCATCATTTTGTCTCTCTCCAACAACGAACAAACATATGGAAAAAAAAACGAATGGTACTCATCGCTGGATCGCACTGCAAGGATAAAACATGGCAGAGAAATCCTCGTCATCGGAGACAAAATAGGGCGGTGACACGACCAGGCGCCAGACGCCGTCCCGAGCGACCGTCCCGTAGTGTGTGTATAGTATGCGATGCACAAGGGGGAAGACGATATCATACATCAAATCACCGTCGACCGGTTTGAGAACAAAGGTGCTGAAGTACGTGGTCGACTTAGACATTAGGACACAAACGTGTTCGATGGCGTGGTCACGAATATAAGTCTCTGTAGTGAGCCTGACGACTCGTTCCTCCTCGACGCTGACAACGAAATGACGATCCACCTTCTTGTCTCTATTGCGGTATCCCACTGCATCGCCGACAGGAAATGTTACGGGAGTCGTTGATTCGTAATAGTATACGGTGTTGCCGTCTGTCAGTTTTGTGGTGTGGTAACATTGGAAAATCATTGGCGCGCAATGCATCGTCGGTTCTTTCGTATGGCGTTTGGAAAATGTTGCATTTCACAGAAACCAACACCGCAAGTTATGAACCCAACGATCGAGTAACGAATAACGCAAATGTTGACCCTGTATACATATATATGGGATGAGCAGGTAGTCGCGATCTTGAACACTGTCGAATGTTGAAAAACTTTACGATATTGTTCGTCAACTCACATGTTTCAGACTACGCATGAGACGAGCGGGATGATGGTTCGTTGGCACTTTGGCACTGTTGTCCGCTACCTTCTATTGACAACACACTGTGCACATCTCCGTTGAGATAACTACAGCGTTGCAGTGGCCGGTCGAGTTTGGAGAAATACCATGCGTTGCGTGCTAACCTTTTCACATGCTCGACCGCAACGACTGACACGATGCACCTTAGCAAATGACCAATCATATCGAAGTCGGGGGCTTCACAGGCGTCGGGAACAACATCCGAAAGCTTTTTTGCATGCATTACAACCTCATCAAGGCAATCAAGGTCGTCGTGCCCCAGCCCCGCCACGACCCTCAAAGTGAGGGTGTCATCGATGAACGCGTAGTACACACGTGTTTTCGTGGCGACAACCCCTTCCCAGTATTCAAAGTCTCTTTCGTTTTCAGTATCGCGCTCACACACTGTCTCTCTCACAACGATTTCTTTTCCATTCACAGTCTCTTTCACAACAGCAACTACGTCGGCCATGTTGTGTCGCAAGGTCGAATAAGTGAACCTGACAATTATGAACAGTCTCAATGGCTGGCCGACGGCACTGCGAAAGATGACGGCAACACAATGCGTACGATAAGCGACGGACACAATGAGTCGAGTCGAGTCTCGTGGCTGCAAAAAAAAACATAATAATAATAATTACGAACAGTAGTACGTTGGTTGGTTATTTGGGTGGTTGGGTAGTTGGGCGGTTGGGTTAAGTGGTTGGTTGGGTGGTTGAGCGGATGGATGGGTGGTTGTGTGGTTGGTTGGTTGGGTGGTTAGGTGG